AGATGAACCCAAAGAAGCCCATGCCAAGACAAATTATAATTAAAATGCCAAATGTTAAAGACACAGAGAGAATCTTGAAAGCATCGAGAGAAAATTAATTAGTTACCTATCAGGGAGTTCCCATAATACTGTCAACTGATTTCTCAACAGAAACTTCACAGGCCAGAGGGATTGGCACAAAATAGTCAAAATGGTGAAAAGTGAGGACCTACAATCAAGATTACTCTACCCAGCATGGCAATCATTTAGAATCAAAAGACAGATAAAATGCTAAGGGAGTTCATCAACACCAAACCAGTACTACAAAAAATATTAGAGAGACTTCTGGAAAAGGAGAAGATGAGGAAGGAAGGCAGGAGGAAGAAAATAAGAAGAAGAAATAAAAAATTTAATAAAATGGCTATAACTATATATCCATCAACTTTTTTTTTAGATATGAATGGATTAAATGCTCCAAGACCCTTACATATGCTGCCTACAAGAAAGTCATTTCAGATCGAAAGACACACACAGACTCAAAGGAAAGGATGGAAAAGATATTTCATGAAAATAGAGACAAACAAAAGCTAGGGTAGCAATACTTACACCAGACAAAACGCTTTAAAATGAAGGCTATAACAAGAGACAAAGAAGGACCCAGTAATCCCACTTCTGAGTATTTATCCAAAGAAATCCAAAACACTACTTTAAAGGGACATGTGCATCCATATGCTCATTGCAGCATTATTTACAATAGCCAAGATATGGAGGCAACCTGGGTGTCCATCAATGAATGAATAGATAAAGAAGAGATGGTACATATATACAATGGAATATTACTCAGCCATAAAAATAAATTTTAAAAAATGAAATCTTCCCATCTGCAACATCATGGATGAAGCTAGAGGGTACTGTGCTGAGTGGAGTAAGCCAGATAGGGAAAAACATGTGAAATCTAAAGAACAAAATAAACAAACAAAATAGAAACAAACTCATAGATACAGATAACAATTTGATGGTAGCCAAAGGGAGGGAGCTTGGGGGGTGAAAAAGGAGAAGGGATTAAGAAGTACAAATTGTTAGTTACAAAATAGTCATGGGGATGTAAAGTATAGCATAGGGAATATAGTCAATACTATTGTAATAACTATGTATGGTGTCAGATAGCTATTAGATTTATCAGGGTGATCACTTTGTAAGTTATATAAATGTCTAATCATTATATTGTATACCTGAAACTATATAATACTGTATGCCAACTGTAATTGAAATTTTTTTTTAATAATTAAAAAAATGAAAGTACCATTAACACTCTATTCTACATAAATGTTATGCCTTGGAGGGCAACTCCATATGCATAAAGCATGCAGATTATAATGTTCTGGTGCTCTTGTATTTGAGCCATGAGTGCAGCCACCCTTGGTCAAGGAATTTTAATTACTATATAACCTTTAACTACACCATACACTTTCAAAACTCTGAAATAGGATTGAATTTTTGTTATTAAATCTTATCCTCCCTTTGTATGACATTGATATAATAGATATATACTGATTGATTCATTCAATATTTCAGACATTAATGTTTTCTATGATCTAATAATTCCAAGTCATATATCGCAACAAACTTAATCTCTTCTGGAATAAGATGAGGTGGAACTTTCCTAGAATTGGAAACAGATTGCTCTGATTGGTTGAGATGGGCCTCCGTGGGCCTGGCCAAATTGATCCACTTCCCTGCATTTCACTTTCTCTGTCAAGAAATATTCAAAAAACAAGAGCTTACTATCCTTTTTCTGCCCAGCACATGTTATAGAGTTTTTGTGCTGATCATCAGTCATACATCATTTTCATAATCAACCAAAATAAAGGGGGGGGGGGAATTTCCTTCTTAATCTTGTCCTGTCAAATGTTTCTATTTATCCACTACTTATCTATTAGATAACTTTTCCATAAGATGATATTTTAAAAATTAATACACACTACAGAGATGAATTATGGATTCTATTTTCCCAGGCAATAGAATATTCACTTATCACACAGAATGTTTCGACTTTTATTTTAAACTGAGTTTCTCTCAGTGTGGACTAGTAGAGTTTCTGCATTGCTCAAGAGAAAGCCTAAGCACATATATCACAGAACTTTACTAAGTTAACTAAAACCAAGTAGACATTTTTAAGTATCAGAAATGGTATAATCAAATAATATAGTTTACATGAAGAGTGCAAGAATTCAACACAAAATTAAAATAACTGCAGTACAATGATGTAAAGAAATTCTACTTTTACAGGGCTATTTGCACATTTACCCTACATAAGACCTAAGATACAAAAGGAAATCTGAGACATACAATCTGGACTTCTACATGTTAATGTGAAGGCAATAACCTATAAATAATGATACAACAGTTCTTCCAATGATTTAGAAAACTGGAGTGAAACTTAACTACTGAGTCCTGTTTAATCAAACATGTGCCATACTAGGATGCCAACCTGTGCCTCTCTGTGGACAACAAAGCCAATGTCAGTTCATATGTTTTTCCAGCAGTCCTAGCAGGAGATTCTAAGGCAGTTCCAGGTCAATCTGTGGTAGGAGTGATGCAGTGGACAGAAGGATCATTCAGCTCTCTCTCCCCATCTGTGTCCAGAGGATGTCAAAGTACAGTTATTGAGTTTATGAAGATAAATGAGATTTCAAATCCAGATGACTGTACCTGGTTCTGTTTGTGGCCACTTTACTCTTTGTCACTTTAGATGATACAGCAGTTACTCTAAGCTTAATGTTTTAATTTAAAAAAAAAAATAATGCGGAGTCATAAAATAATTTTTGAGATATAAAGAAAATCAATAAAATGTTTCCAAGAAATTTGAGAGATACTATAATGAATTCCACTACCAGAAGACTGTTCAAATATCATGATGTCCATCATTTGAAATGCATTGGAAATAAAAAAAAAACTGTATTTTGAACAATTTATTATCAGTCACTCAAAATAGGTTTTTAAATTTAGATTTTCTAAACTGATTGCTATGAATTACATCATTGTTGCTAATAATTTCAAGAGCTAAAGAAACAATTCTCATTCACCCAAATCAGAGAGCGAATTTGTATCCCCCCTACAAAAGAGAGTTTTTCTTTTCCACATATTTTTTAAAAGCTACTTTGAACCTAAATATTTGAGCAATTGATCAATGCCCATCAAACTAAGTAAATAAAACCTGCTGGTGACACCAACGCTCTTTCTCACACTTAACACTGAGACATACACAAAAAAATTATTTTTAGAAATTTTCATGTCCGTGAAATTCACCCCAAAGAAAACAACTACCTTTTAAAAAACTATAATCAATGACCGTAATCTGAGGCACAAACTTCAGACGGTTGGGTAAACCCAAGTGTCAGTCCTCTCTCTTCATCCACTTTCGCCTCCCATAAGTGGAGATAAAATAAAGGTAGGGTGCTGGCTGGTCTTCCTTGTGATTCCAGAACCAAATATTAACCAGGTTCACCTGACTGCGAGGTGGTGTCTGGGCCTAAGGAATAAAGAATGCCTGATCCGTAGCTCCCTGTGTAAAGAAATCCAGGAGAGAGAGATATGAGGGCCTCAGTAATTTCAGCTTCCTGGCTCTCCCTAAGGCGAAAGAGATGAAGAATAAGAGGAGAAAGAGAATAAAAGAATAAATATACATTTCTCTTTAATCTCATTTGCTCCTCACAGAAACTTGTGAGGTTAGGACATATATATTTATAAAGTTCTCAGTCCTGGAAAACAATACGCAAAGAATTGAAACGAACTGGCCCAAGTCGTATGAGAGGTCCACGAGGGCTAAATGGTGTGGGGGTAATGAAGTCTCCTTTAGAAGGGCGCGACTATTAGCAAGCAGGCGGTGTAGAGAGCCAATTAGCAGGTGCGCTCAACTACAAAGGCAGAAATCCATTTCAGGACGCTCCCAGCTGGACAGCTGGCTCCGCAGGGGGGCGCCACAATAGGGCGCCTAGGCAACTCCGGCTCTTGGCTTTTCCCCTAGTGGAGCAAGCCGAGTCCCTTGCAGCCTAAGAGTCGTAGAGGATTTCAGGTGAGAGCAGGGGTAGGAAAGAGGAAAGGGAAAGAAAGAAAGGGCTGGAACAGGAAGGGGGACTCATCACTAGTCTTATCACTACTGTAGGGAGTCACGGCCAGGCTCCAGCCTCCTTCACCCCACGCCTCTGCTAGACACACACACGCACACACACCCCTGCCAGGCTGCTGGGAAGAGGCCCGGGCGTTCTCGTCAGCCACCTCCCCGCACCTCGGAGAAGTGGGCGCGGAACGCAGGCGCCTTGACCCTCTTCTCCAGCTGTTAGAGCACTCGGAGTAGGGCTAGGGGATTCGCAATGCTGTTCGCCGGCTTGAGCGAAGCATAGTCAGTTGCTACTGAAAACCCAAACAGCAAAGTGCGGAGGCGAACTCGGAGCGGACGCCGGGGGGCGCCTGCACATCCTCGGGTCTCACTCCATCAGAGCGCCGAGGGCTCCACCTAGAGAGACCGGGATGCGCACAGCTTGGGAGAGAGGGAAGTAGGGGAACTGTAAGGGGGTTCTCAGCAGTTCTGTCTTCCTCCTCTCCTCTTACTTCACTCCCTTGTCAAGTTCAGGGGTCGACTCGGTGGCCTTTGGCATTAGGAAGCTGTCAGTGTACGTTCTCGGCTGCAATGATCCTCACACTCGGCGTGCTCCTCACACTCAGCGTGCTCCTGCATCACTTGGAAGGCCTGGCAAATTCAAATTGCGAGCGCAGCCACAGGGCGTCTGATTCACTGGGTCTGAGGCAGAGTCCAAGAATCTGCTTCTCTAGCAAATCTGGGAGCGAGGTGGGGAAGATTGTTGTCGGGGACTGCCTTCCGAGCGCTGCACGCCCGGCGGTGCCAGAGTGGGAGAGCAGGGCTCCTCTAGCAAATCTGGGAGCGAGGTGGGGAAGATTGTGTTCGGGCACCGCTGCACGCCCGGCGGTGCCACAGTGAGAGAGCAGGGCGTGCGGGGCGGTCAGGCGGCGGTGCGGCACGCTAGCATCTGGTGGAGGCTCCTGCGGAAGCTGTCGTCCAGGAAGGCGTATAGGAAGGGGTTGAGGCAGCTGTTGGCATAGCTCAGGCTGGTGATGAAGTAAGAGACCGCGATGACCAGCGGTGTCTGCGGGAGGTCGGTGGTGAGAGCCACCACGGTGCTCAGGTGGTAGGGTGTCCAGCAGAGGAGGCACACGGCCAGGATCACCACCACCAAAAAAGTCACCCGCTTCTTAGCGCGGTCTAGGGCCTTGGCGTGACTATCGAGGCGTATGGCGCGCAGCCGGCACAGCAGAGTGATATAGAGCACGCAGATGGTGGACACCGGGATGACGAAGCCGAGCACCAGTGTGTAGAGGCGGCTCACTCGCCACCAGAAGGCCTCGGGCTGAGGGAAGACAAGCACGCACTCGCGCCGACCCTGCTCATCGTCGAGCCCGGCGAAGATCGCGAAAGGCAGCACGACCAGAGTCACAAGCCCCCACACAGCCAAGCTCACAGCGCAAGCAGCGCCATAGGTGCGGCGCGTCACCCGGCGCGATTCCGCGGTGGCCAGCACCACCAGGTAGCGGTCGGCGCTCATGACGGTGAGGAAATAGAGGCTGGAGAAGGTGTTGTACTGGTCGATGGCCACGATGAGCTTGCACATGAGCTCCCCGAAGGGCCACTGTCGCAGCAGGAAGTCGGCGATATTAATGGGCAGCACGAGCGTGAAGAGTTCGTCAGCGATGGCCAGATTGAGGATAAACAGGTTGGTGACAGTCTTCTTGCGGGGCGCCCGCAGCAGCACGTAAAGCACGGCAGAGTTACCCGTCAGACCCACGGCGCAGATCACCGCATAGACCACTGGCACCGCCAAGGCCAGTGGCTGCGACGGTGGCGGTGGTAGCGGGCTCGACGCATTGAGGCAGCCCAGCGCGGGACCAGAGCACGACGTGTTTGAAGGCCCCAGCTCCGAGTACGACACGTTGTACATATCCGCGAGGGGTGGAGGGCGTGCGATTCCGCTTCCTCCACCGCGGCCCTGCGGAGCTCTGCGGTCCCGAACCCGGCGTCGGCGCTGACGTGCGCCCGGGGACTCGCGGAGGCGCTCAAAGCTCTTTTCTGGCCTTTCTAGGGGAGGAGCGTTCCCATCCGCCTTCCTAGCCCACTGTCATTGTGGATTCCGGGGGCTGAAAAGAGGAATTGAAAGCATAGGTTAGGCTAGTAGACTTGCCGCTTTGGGGGGCGAGGGGGATGGCATCCCAAATCTGCCCCCACGTGATCGCTCTCTGCTACCTGTTGAAATCTTATTCTAACCAGTTGAATACATCAAACGAAGCGCCAGAAAGGAAAAAGCCCTTACTTCGTCTAGGAAGAACACCCATCTCCCCTGCTTTAGGATACCCCTGGCAGACCCGGGTCACCCCAGCGAATTCTGCAGTGGCAAACAAGCGTCGGTCCCTCTAGGTGCCGTGCGCCTCGTTAACAGCAAGCTCAACTACAGTCTCGACCTCACCTGGCTAGGAAAAGGTCTACCTTTTCTGGAGCCGTCTGGAGAGCCGGATGCGGGCTGCTGGAGATGCTGCAGCACCAGCCATCTGAGTGTCGGCCTCTGGGAATAAGCAGGGAGGCGCCAACTCGAGCCTCAGCTGTCCCTTCGGTGCACCTTGAAGCTTAGGAATGGCGCAGCCGCATAAGACGCTACACGGCCAGGACCGCGCCCCACCCCCACCCCAAATCCAAGCGTAGGTTAGGCTAGTAGACTTGCAGCTTTGGGGGGCGAGGGGGATGGCATCCCAAATCTGGGAAACAGCAGTGGGACAGAGGACAGAGTTACTCGAAAATTACTAAATTCTTTTCTTCTTTACAGAAGCGTAACCTCACTCCGTTTCAAATAATAAGCTCTCCTGTTAAGAATTAAATTTAAGAAAACCAAAGTTAAAGTGTAATTTTAAAAGAATAATGCAGTTGACGCTCCCGTCCATTTTTTAAAACGCCATACCCCAAATGGACTAATGTAATTTTAAATTTCAAATTACTTTTATACTACATATTTATACAGAAGAGAAAAGTGAGTGAAATTTTAAAATGCAAATTAGCCGTTTTCTAATACTCCGGTACTGACAGAATTACAAGATCGTTACTAACAAACAATTTGAGATACTTCAGGCTTTCTAAAAATATATGTAAGTAATGACCTTATTACCAAACTGCTTCTGAAAGGCTTTTACGGTATGTTTCATAAAATGTAAGTTTTTCAACACAATCCCGATTCTCCCCCTAAAGAGAACTACCCTGCAACCACCACCACCAACCAGCAAGGCAGAGCAGAGAAGCAAGGCAGAGCAGAGACAGACCTGCGCTCCAATATCGCTCTCTCACTGAGCTTTCAATTCTTTCTCTCTAAAGCGAAACTCAGCGGGCAACTCATCTTTGTGGATTGAATGAAATAAACTAAATATTAGGTCTCTCCAATTCCTATTTTCTCCTTCTACTTTCTCTTTGGGAAAGTCAGTGAATTAAGACACAGGATTCTATCCTGCTTCCCTCTAATAAATTTCCCCTCCAGAAGAGCAGGAAAAAGCCCAAATAATGTGCATTTTTGGTCCTTTATGGTGCATTTTTGGAGGAGAGGTACTGAGATACTGAAAGGGAGACTGGAAGTAGCCCGTGGAAGAAGCCTCTGGGAGCAGAAATACAACCGTTTTCCTTTACCCACTCAATTCACTCTTTAATTAGGAATCTATATAATTCTGGCTTCTCTGCAGTCTCATGCTTTGTATGAAGAAAATGACAGGAAAGGCTAAGCTATATCTATGAGGAAAAATGTGAAAAAACACCATATAATGTTAAGTGAAACTAAAAAGGAGTATTATAATATATATAATATACACACATAGATGAATGCATACACATAAACCTGTGTGTGTATGCATGTGTGTATATATATATACACACACATATATACTATAGTTGCTTAATTTTCAAATATTTGGAGAGTTTCTAGCATTTGAATTATTAATTTCTAGCTTAATTACACTGTGGACCGAGAATATATTCAATATGATTTCAATTCATTGGCATTTGTTGAGACATTACCCAATATAGTTATTTTTCCAATGACTTTCATGTTTACATGAAAATGATGTGTGTTCTACATTCATTAGGTGAAAAACTACATGTGTCAACTAGTCAAATTTATTGTGTTGTTTAAATCTTCTACTAGTATTGTTATCTGATTATTTTATCAGTACTGAGAGAGATATTTAAAAATGTCAATCAATAATCGCTAATTTCTCTAATTATACTTTTAATTCTGTCAGCTTTACTGAATAATTTGATGCTGTTTTATTAGACACACACAAACAAGACTATTCTATTTCTCAGTGGAATGGACTCTTTTATCATTACAAAATATCCTTCTTTCTGTATTTAGTCTTCTTTGATATTACTACAGCTGCATGTCTCTTATATTATCATGGAATATTATTTGTTAAATCCTTTTATTTTAAAACTTTCTGTGTCCTTAAATTTAAATTATGTCCCATATAAGCATTATAGGTTTTTAAATCCAGTCTGACAATTATTTGTCTTCAAATTGGAGTATTTAGCTCGTAATAAATTTAATGTAGATAATATTAAGGTATACCTAATATATTATCCTTTGTTTTCTACTTCTCATTTCTCTCTTTTTACCTTTCTTATATTGCTTTTGATTAAAATGTAATTTTTTATTACAGTCTCCTTCACTTCATTAACTTATTATTTCTACGTCTTTATTATAGTTAGAGACATCCTAGAGATTATAATATGCATCCTTGACTTTTTAATGTCTAGCCTAAATTATTACTTTTACAACCTTCTTAACAATGCAAGGACTTTTTAACAGTTAAACTCCATTTATTTTCTTCCTCTTTTTGTGCTACTGTTAATGTATATTCTAAATCTATATATGCACTTTAAACCCTACAGACCATTATTATTATTGTTTGAAATAATAAACATGCCACTATATGTACCCACATACTATATTTCTGGTCCTCTTCTTTCCTGTTCATTATAATTAAAGAACTCCCTTATACTTTAAATGCTGTTCTGCAGGTAAAAACTCTTACCACTGTTCTTTTGGCCTGAAATTTCTTTATTTCCCCTTCATTTTTGGATATGAAATTCTAGGTTTTCAATTGTATAATTGCTACAGTTTAAATAAGTTTCTTTTTTTTTTTTTTTGCTTTCACTGTTTTTATTGGAATCATTTTTTTCCTGTCCTATTGTAGCTCTTTTGAAGGTAATTTGCCTTTTTTTTTTTCCTGCAATTGTTCTTTAATTATGTTTTTGATTTTGCATTTCAGTTTCTGTACTATGATGGCCTAAGAGTAATTTTTTTCCCACTTATCCAGGTTAGAATTTTAGAGCTTCTAAAATCTGCGACTTGATTTTTTGTTTCAATTTTGGAAAATTCTCAGCATTCTATCAAGTTTTGATTCTGTCTCATTCTCTCTCTTCTCTCCTAACGGAACTCTTTTTACATGTGTTAGATCTTCATTCTCTTTTACGTGTGTTTCTCACCCTTTTTCTCTCTGCATTTCAATCTGGTCCCATAAATCCTGGCTTTTTTAGTTGTTCCTCAGTACTTTCAAACAGCTATTTCAGTCTTTTCTCAATTTTTAAGGTAGTTCATAATAGAAGGGTTTGTGTGACACAAGCTACTTTGTTATAATGAGAAGCAGAAGTTAATAAAGTTTTCTACACAGCTGGTCCTCAAGTAATGCTGTTTCGTTCAACATTAAAGAGATGTCATAGGAACTTAACTCTTGTTTGTATCAGTTAACCTATGGTAAAATTGGTTTCATTATATGTTGTTTTATTAAAGTCACAGAACCTTTTAATGACCTTAAGTGAGGACTTTACAATACCATTAAAAAGTATATACAGGGAAGAATCATTTCATAAGTTATATAAATGTCTAACTATTATGCTGTATACCTGAGCTAAATATATTGAATGTTAACTGTAATTTAAAAATTAATAAAATAAGAAATATATATATATGTGTGTGTGTCTTGGGAACATTTGCTATCTTCTCTCTGGCACATGTTGTCAGTTTTGGCTCAAATAAACTGAAAAATTCTCAAAAAAAAACTATAAGTGTATATGTATGTTTCCATATGTATAATTACTCATAAGTGTGTATAATTATGAAAAATATATGCCAAAATGTTAAAAATATTTCATTAAGATATGAATTTAGCAGTAAATTTCATTTTCTTTGCACTTTTCTGACTTTTCAAAACTTTTTATAATGAAGATATAGTACTTTTATAATAGTAAAAGCCATATTTATAAAAATTGTGGCCATGAAATACTACAGAGAAGAACTTGACAATACATAAGGAAGGTGGTTCTTCCAGCACTTGTGAAATTACTATAATCACAAAAAAATAGTGAATAAATAGATATGTAAAATATACATTTATATAGAAAACATACCTTATATATCCTGAAGCCCACCCACAATATCGCCAAAACAGAGATTTCCAATAGTACTTTGAATTGCTTAAACCAATAGTTTTGACTAATACAAAATGTTTAACTCCAACCACCTCTTATTTTGGAAAATTATATAATTAAATATTTGAATATTGATATCACAAATATTAATATCTAATGTAATCATTGTGTCTTAGTTTAGTGCAGCTGTAACTTCCAAAATTTTCCTAGGTCTTTCTTGAGGGAATGGGGAAAAACAACCATTTCAAAATATATCCAGAGCTTCTGTTCTCCTTAGTAAAGGCCTGCCCTCAAATAAAACTATTTACCAGTGCCTAACCCAGGTAAAATAAAGGGAATATCCAACGCCAGCTCCCTCTATCTTTAACATCAGGGGAAGGAAAACACCAGGGGAAGGCAAACTCCCAACCCCCTCTAGCATTCCTATCTCACCTGAGTAGGAAGCTGAGAAACTCTTGTGAAGGTCACAGCCCAGGGGCACTG